TGATTTTATTTCTAGAGGTAGTACTGAAAACCATTTTTGGGCTGCGCCATCTAAGGTTGTTTGTATTAACGCTGTGCGTCGATGTATCCAGTTTTGATGTAGTGGCGTGTTAATTGGTTCAGGTCCTATATTTAAAATCAAATTTGCTGTTACTGCATTTAAATAATCTTCTACAGAGTATTCAGGGTCTGTTCCTGTGAAAACCATTAAAGGTTTGTTTGATGTTATTGATGATCCACCCATAAGGTATGGATTCATTGTCATTTGTAATGATTCTGCTGCATTTGGCATTTGAGAAAAATTTGAAAGTTGGTTTCTTGTTATCTCATGTTGTTGGAGATAATATGGGAGTGGTATTTCATTTTGCATTTGTGATGCTTGATACGAGTGTGCAGTCATTGGATTTTGTTGTTGAATTGGTTGAAAAGATTGTGTATTAATTGGATTTTGTTGTTGAATTGGTTGTTGATGTTGTGCATCTATTGGTTGTGGAGAAAAATTTCTATGATTTGTACGTGTTCTCTGTATTCCTTGTCTACGATATTCTTGAGTATTTTGTGCAAATATATCTGGTTGTAAGAAATCATCATCTGAGGATAAATAATCCATTTGATAAGATGTCTGTTTTTTATTTTTATTTTGTTGAAAAAATGGGTAATTTTCACTGTGATCCCGTGGAGGATTTGTTTGGAAATTTGTTGAATTAGGTTGGGCCATTGGGTTATCCCAATTTCGAGATCTTGTATATTGGTTAAAATTTCTTTGTGGTTGATTATATGTTTTTGATGGATGTGTATAATTATAATTATGGTCTGCAAAGTTGTTTCTAGTGAATGTTTTGCGTGTTTTTGATGGTATTGTCATGGGTCTGTATGTTTGGTAATCCATATGGGAATATTTTGGAGCAACCGAAGGTTTAACGGTTGATTGTAAGGTTACCTGTGTTTGTGAAGGATTTGTATTTCTTGGTGTTGTTAAATTTGGGCGTATTGGTGAAATACTTTGTTGTGTAGTTGTTGTGTGTACAATTTCTTCATTTATGAAGTGTGATGGTGTCTGGATATCTTGTTGAGTAGGATTCCTATTTCCATTGAGGTTTTCGTTGTGTATGACTGTCGAGTTTAAACTATTATTTTGTGTATCGGGTAAAAATGTATTATAGTTTAATGGTGTTGCATCAATTGTTAATGGTATTACTCTTACATAATCTCTTATGTAAGATATTGTACCTATTGCTTGACTTGAGATTGATTGTGGAAAGCTTATAAATGCGGGATGAGACCATTCGGGGTCCCAAACATAATCTGATTGTTCTGTGATAGCTGTATCATCGTTCGAGTTTTGGGGTCTAAAATTTTTTCTTGCTTGTGCAATTAAATCAATATTGTGTGTGAAATAATCTATTATGAACCATGCCAAAATTTTTTGTAGATCGTGTTTTGTATGTTGTGAAACGTCGTCTTTCGTGAAATTTTCTTTAATGATGTTTAAATAACTAGAGAGTAGTGTGATTTCATGTCGTACTTTCAAATGTTTGGATGTTTCTGTCGATGAGACATTTGTTAGTGGGAGTTCATTTTCTAATATCGAAATATAACTATATATTATTGCGAAAACTTCATTGGTGAATATGGAGTTTGCTCTTTGTGAGTTATGGTATTGGATGCTTTTTATATATTCTGAAAAAACTTTTGAAAATTCTAAATCAAGATCGTCTGTTTGAATAGTATATGTTCTATTATTATGGTTTGGGGAGGTGAATTCTATAGAGTAGATTCCATACTGTTGTGTTATGTTGCATATATCTTTTAGATAGTGATCTATGATTTGTCTTTTGATTTTTACATCGGGGAACTCTGTTTTACATGGACTGATTCCGGGTTCAAATAAATTTACGAGTAAATTTTGACAAAATATGTGTTGTCCTCTATCAGTATCTGCGTCTACTATAAAAGGAAAGATTTCATCATCATCTGGAGTTTCGTCACCTGGGGTGTGTGTTGAACTCATTTTTCCGTTCGATGACTGTTAATATGTAATTATTAATGTGTCGAATTGGTTGATTCCAATTGTATAGATGTACTGGTTTGTGTTTGTACTGTTTTTTTATTCTTCTTTTTCCTCTTTGTGATGAATTTGAAGTTGTTTCTGAGTCAGAAAAATATAATTGATCGTGAAGTGGGTAATTTTTATCTATTGATTCTTTTAGTTTGTAAAGTTCGTCTAAACTGTTGGTTTCTGATTCTGAAAATGCGTTTCGATTTTTTGAAAATCTTTTTCGTGTTATTTGTCTTTGTTTAGTTATTATTTTCCTCTTTAGTGTTTGTCGTTTTGTGCGAATGTATCCAACTGTTTGTGTATGAGGTGTGATTACAAGGTCGTATTTTTTGTTATCTATTTCACAATTGTGTAAAATGATTGTTTGTTTATTTCCTAGGTTTTTAAATGACATAAGGTTTAGAATGACGGATGCAAAAAGTTGTTAAATGATTTCTATTTTCTTAAACTGTTAGTTCTTACGATTTTTTGGTTAGCTTAACCTGGGTCTTTTTGTTCAGGGTTGGAGAGAAAAGTATATCGATTCCGAAGAATGGTTTTTACTTTCTCGTGACTAGTATAAGCTAAGGTGTTAACTTACTTAATCTTACTTAGGGGTAGTGATTGTGTTCAAGGGTTGGAGAATAGTAAATCGATCCACAAGGTTCAGGTATAATTAGAACGCGAGTAGTTCGTTAGATACTATTTTAAACTTACTAAGTCTAAGATTTATCCTGGGTCTGGTAAGAGGGGGGGTCAAGTGAAGGATGAATAACCGAAGTTCTTCACTGTTTATCCTAATTTGAATGATTAGTTTTGTGTAAAAATTTCTATTAGTCCTGGGTTTTTAGAAAGGGTTGGGTAGTGAATCGACGTTTGAGGTCGTTAGACACTAATTAAGTGGGTGGGGGAGAACAAAGTTGTTCTGTTTGATCCAAGGATAAGCCTTGATGATCAAGTTTGAAATTTAATTAAGTAGAAAATGATTTAAGATCCAAGGATAAGCCTTGATGATCTGATTTTAAATTAAGTGACTTTAAGTTTTAATAAAGTTTTGAATGTGTGTAAAGGAAAGATTTAGTGTTTTGATGATGTTAGTTGGTTTATAATTGCTGTTATGTTTTAGGTGATGGAGCTGGAATCAACAGGATGATTGATGATTACTAACCATTTATTGTCATGCTACTAATTTTTATTTTTATTTTCCAATAAATATTTTTCAAACATGTTTTGTATATTACTGCAGAGTTTTAGGAAAACGATCTTAGATCTTTTTATCAATCGTTATTGTATAATATTAATTTTGTTTAGCGCCTGAAATGATGTTGAAGATTAACTTCAAGGTTTTATGTTTGCAAATGGAAATCTAAATTCATTGCAAGTAGTATTCGAAATATAAAAGTTTGTTCTGGCTTTTGCCGAACTATCATATAACTATACGGCAAGTTTCTACTTTGTCGTATGTCGTCTTTGGTTCGAGGTCTTCTTCCAATTCCGGGTAGTTCTATTATGGTTCGGAATATTGGCTCTGATCTATTGAGTCGGAGAGACATTTCAATTAAATTATTGTCGTATAACATTTTGTAAATGTTTTTGTCTAATTTCTAATCTATTTTTGGTTAATTCTAATCTAGTAAGGTCTTGTTCGAGACTTATGGTCGCACCAGATGAGTTATGACCGGGGTGTATAACTCATAGAGTAATTTCGGATAGGGTACACCGTCTGCTCGTCACGCTATCTTATTTTCGGCCGGATAGATTCGTGCAACTTCTTAGTCTAATACCGATCCTAATCTTACTCTTATACTATCTAGTCTCAGGTTGTTTAACTAGTCTCTGCTAGGCTCAATAGATCTAGGGTATACTGGTTTATTGCGGCTGCTGAAGTGCTCGGGAGAGTCCAACTAATTTCTAAGTTAAATTCAAATCTCTCTGGTGCTGAAATTACAAGTAACTTCAGCACTTACAAATAAGTGGGTTGTTAGTTAGATGGATCATGATTGGTTAATATTAAATACTTTACATTGGTAAAACATTTAATTTATCCAATCATAAAATATAGTTTAGATCAGGTTCCAAAATTGCCGAAAAATGCTTATAAAAAATAATTTCTCTATAGTGTTTGGAGAATGCTCAGAAAACCAATTTGATCTGGCCTAAAAATTGTCAACAAAAAACTTTGAAACGTTCTCTAAATACCCACTCTTAATGAAATCATATTTAGATTCACAGTTTGCGAGATAAACTCGTATATTTACATTTTCGGGTTGTGATGAGAAATCTTCCGAGCTTGTTTTTTTTGCTTGCAATGAATAAAAACTAAACTCCGATTAAAATAATAAGTTGCCTTACTTACTTCAACTTTACCCATTATTGAAGCAAAATAGTATTTGTTGAACGAATTGTTCAAAAGAAAAGATTGTCGAATTTCTGATAAGCTGATGGTACCACGTTCAGTTGCTCATTATGTCGTTATTTAAAACAAAATAAATGAAAAAAATCGGCAGGGACTGAAAACTGAGAAATAAGTTAAACAAATCAGGAGTATCGAAACTATTCATAAACCACTGAAGTTGGCTCGTTGCACTGAAAAAAGTGTCAGCTGCCTTGCTTGTCCAGATCAACGTCCTTAAAGAGGACTCGTATAATTCAGCAGAATAATTGCAGTTTTAGTGCAGCAGATTCTTTTTAGTACAATTCGACGTTGAGCCAGAATTTAGTTTTTAGTTCCTCTTTGTTGGCTAGCCTCTCATATAAAGAGTATATAATTCGTGGTCACAATCAAAAAATAGGATTGGAAGTCAAAAGAAGGCCTTGTAAACTATTACTAGTGGGGGCTTCCTATTGTGGCGAAGGTTTCGAATAGCTGAGAGCGTGTTCGTTGCTGGTTGAATCCAAAATCAATGCACCCGCTGCTGTTCATCCTCTAATCTTACCAAACCCCTTCTTTCGGCTATTCTTACCTGAGCGATGGCGGTGGCCTGCTCCTCTCCCAATTCTTCTCCTCTTTCGTCCCGCATGCCGGTACACATGCTCACCACTATCCTCTCAAAGTCCCCCGAAGTATCTCCCTTCATGTCCGCCACCAACTTCACTCCGTACCCTGCAACAACATTTTCTACCGTTTGTAACATATTTCCGCAAAGCACGAAAAAGGGACTGATAATAATTGAAGTTCCGATGACACAATGTTCGACAATTTTTCAGTAAATAGCTGGAAAAATATGAAAAAATTAGATAATTCAAATTTAGCTCGTATTGTTGTCCTTTCCATTGAGAATAAGAGTCGTATTAATAATTACTGTAGAATTTAGAATCCCATTTGCAATTACATTCATCTCAATTCCGAAAGAAACAAGGATCCTCAATTTGGTTTCGATGATACATCAATTTGCTTTATGTTCAACAGGAAAACTGAAAACACATGTAGTTTGAACAGAAAAAGAACATTAAAAGAACCCCAAAAGAACATTAAAAAATGGGAGAGCCAGGGAAGTATTTAAAACAGGTTAATGTTTTCTATACTCTTGTTGCATATAGACCGAAATCCAGGTCGAGTTCCGCATTTCATTTCCAGAATTCCACGACCACGTTTTGACATGTCCAGACTTCGTGAACAGAACCGTTCGCGACTTTCGCAACTTTATTTCCACAGACGAATCTTATTATTCCAACTCTTAAAGAAAATGACAATCTTTCGGCTCTGCTTGTTTTATTTTTCTGTAGACAAAGTTTGGTTTGTTTTAAATAACAATTTTTTTCTACAATCAGAAAGACATTGATCCCTGGGCTCAGAATAAAAAACTAGTTTATATTATTTACTAGTTTTATATTACCGCTTAGCATAAGCCGCGATTTAAACAGGCTCAAATTTGTTCCGAATTGAACAAACCTGAAAAACGTGAGCCGAAACAAATTTTGCGCTAATAAATGAGACAAGACTGCTCGTATCAAGCTGAAGCCATGAATGTTCCGAATGCCTTTTAAGGTCTATGGAGTAGTAATAACATGAAAAGATTAAATGTAATGAAAATTTTTTTTTTTTCAAATTTGAGAAATTTTTGTGAAAGTCATCCCCCGAAAAGCCTTATAAAATATAAATTGATAGATTTTGCCCCTAAAAAATCAATTATGGCAAATAAATTTCCTTCCAATTGGCCAAATAACTTTACAGAAAAACCTCACAGGTGAAATATCTTTTCACGTTTAAGCTCAAGTCAGCAACACATTTTTAATGATACAAAAAACTCCGTCAAAAATGGCTAGTTAAAAGGTCGAAATTTGTCTGAAGAAACAACCACCCCGAGCACAAATATTCCGTTACTTTTGTTACGAAAGGCGGAGCAAAAATGTTGAGTCTAGTAATATTTTAATAAAAGCCAACTGCTTGACTGTAACCAAGTTGAAGTTTTATAATTAGCCATTTACGCATTATTAGGAGAAAATTTATTGCGCTTTAGTTATCCCAATTTAATTTTAAGTCGTCAACAATCTTGCAATGTTATACTTCATGTGCGTTTTGCTTATTTATCCCCAATTTCGCTAAAGTTTCCCGTGTTGGGAAGATTTGTGCTCGGGGTGGGTTTTTTCTTCAGACAAATTTCGACTTTTTAACTAGCCAAATTTGACGGAACTTTTTTTATATCATTCAAAAAGTATTGTTGTTCTGAGCTTGATTTTGAAAAAAAATTTTACCTGTGATTCATTTTTGTAAAGTTATGGGGTTTTAAAGATTGCCATTTTGGCAAATTTGGGACAATTAACGCGCGATACAATTCGGAGATTAAGCGGAGATTTAATCTGTCTTAGAAATCGTTCCAAGTTGGTTGAAGGAAGCTTATTTGCAATAATTAATTTGTTACTAGGAGCGAAATGTATCGTTTTATAATTTATATGGCGTGTGGCAGGATGATTTTCCCAAAAAATCTCAAATTTTAATTTTTTTTTTCGTTTTATTTTTTCAAATTTAATTTTTTTTATTACTGCTCCATAGACCTTATCAAGCAATCGGAACACTCAAGATTTCGCCTAGATACGAGCAGTCTTGTTAAATATTTAGCGTTTTCAGCGGATAATGCTTTTTTTAATGTTTAATTTTCAGCTCAAAACACTAACAGCCATTTCGAACAATTTTTGCCTGAAGCCAATTTTTTTTGAAAATTTGGTCGACGAATGCTTTGTACCAAATTATCTGAAAAAAAAGAGTAAGATTTTACGACTGTCATAATGCACGCATTTTCTGTCCAGAATTTCTTAATGTTCACAATGTTTTGAAGTTTCCAATTTTAGAATTGATGATTGTTGAACATTTTGTTATGGATAGATTGGTGGAACTCACGTTTTTTGTAGAGCCTTTTGATGAGTTCGATCTCCCCATTGTCCCGTGTGCATAGAATTTCCACAATTGCATCCTCGTCAGTTCCAGCACCCTAACAAGAAACAAAATCTTATAGGTTTGAAAAATACTCCATGGACATTCATTTTACGTCAGTACTTAAAATGATGGGAATGGGTATCAGAACGCAAAGTGTTACGAACTTAGTACCCATCTACGAACCATTTTGAGCTGTGTCGTGACGCCGTCTTCGGCACTTTGTTAGTCTACGTATTTTACATTTATCTCCAGAAAAACCAAAAATGAAGGAGTGGATATTCAAATGTTAGCACTTGCATTTGATATTGCCAGTACAAAACATATATTTTATGAAAATTTTTAAAAACAAAAACTTTTCGAGACCAGTTAAGAGGCAGTTGAAACATTCAGAGCTCTGCCCTCATCTACGAGCAGTCTTGTTTCTTTCTATAGCAAAAGTTAAGGCCTGCTGTGCTTTTTGCTAATAACCTAGGCTTTTTCATAAACAGAGCTCGCGTTTCTGTAATGGCAAGCACACAACACGTATCAGCCCGAATATGAGAATAAAACCTCTATCAATAAGGGAAAACCAGCAACAAGTTTTGGATCTACTTAACAATCTTCACCCTATGATACCTACTTAAGAATCTCGACCGCTATAAATGAATACAGTAAATTAGCACTGAGCTTTCTATTGAGAATTCTAAGTTTGCTGCATTCTGATTGGTCAAAAAATTGTCCATTTGATCTTCTTAACAATCTACCCCCCCCCCCCCCCACCCTTTCTTGAAAGGGGTGGAGATTGTTAAGTAGATCCCAAGTTTTTATGATTTGCATGAAATCTGCTGGTGCATTAAAAGTAGGACCATGTCTATCAAATAATTCAAAGAACAAATTTTTCACTGAGACAAAATTTATATGACCCAATTTATAGACAGTGCGTTAATTACATCGACGGCTTCCTTGAGGTTGACCACATCCTGTTCTATGTTTGACATGAATAGAGCGAGAGACAGCTTCTCAAAGTAGCCACTCAGGTCCCCCTTCAGATCGTCTATGAGCAGTCTCCCGTACAGCTGCTGGTACACCTTCTCCACCTGTGTAAATTTAAAACAATTGACCTCTTTACTTGTCGGATAACTGAACATTTGTTGGAATGCAAATCTTGCAAGATTACTGCAAGAGAGCTTGCGTAGGAAATTGATGCTTAAGATTGTGCTTATTTCTTGCTAAATTCTTACAAGATTTGCCTTAATCTTGATTGCAAGATTTGCATTCGATTCCATTCGCAAGAACTATGCAAGATTTGCGTTCCATTCCATTCGCAAGAACTATGCAAGATTTGCATTCCATATATACCAAGTATGACCTCAAAAAATGTAAACCCTTATGAACCTCTTTTCGATATGATCAAATGTCCTAGAAACCATTAAATGTGGCTCCATGTTAACGGCGGTTCAGTTCATTTGAAACCAGTGGAAGTGAATGAAATGTAAAATATTTGACCGAGACCTTCTTCAGTTGTCCATAGGAACGAGCACAGATGATGGAGATGATGAGGTCCTCGTCAGTGCCTGGGAACAAAATGAACAAAGAAGGTTACCACTATAAAAAGGCCAATAGATGAGGATAGTAGTGGTAAAGTGTCTCTGAGTGGAAAAACTGTTGTTGGAGTTATAATGCTATTATGGGTCGGTTGTTCGCCCTTATGGTCACTCATCCATAAAAGCTGATACTAAATGAGACTTTTTTAAAATCAAGTTAGACGTCTAAACGATCTTGACCGGTTTACATGGAGGGGGTGTAAAGTTTTTTTCTTTTTTTTTCAGGTATTTGACATCTTGGCCGCGCAAAAGGTCCGGCCTTTGTACCGATGAGAAGGAACAATTTATGAATCATTTGGACCCTTAAATCGCAAAAGGCAACTCTAAAAGCTTTCGAAAAGCAACCAATTTCAAATTGATGACATCTTACATGAATTGGCACTACTTAGATAAACCCAGGCCTCAAATATTATCTAATCTGGGTTTCCAATAGGTCGCTATTAAACAAAAATGAGGTAGTGATTGTTTTTGAATATTTCTATTTATCCCCCTTAAATAGTAAACCCCACTAGACACACCAAACTGTGATTTTTGTTTCCACCATTGAAAATGGGAAGGAAATTAGTCTTCGGGTGTGTTTGAATTATTTTCTTATTTTTGTTCACGCAAAATCAGGTACCACAAATAATCATCGGAATGGGTTGCATGATATTCATATTAAAGCCCTAGGAAGACCTAAGAGAAATTCCCAAAAAATTATCACCGTTAACTTATCACGAAAAACAGGTTGAACTTCTATTCTATTATCGAGCAAATAAAGCGAAGATTATAGGCTTATAATGTTAAACTTCAAGCGCGGATCTAGGAATTTCTGGAGTGGAAGATGCAGATTTTCAAAAAAAGTTTTGAAATTTTTCTGCACATTTTTTTTAGGTCGAACAAATTGATTTTCTGAGGTCTCTTAAACAAATTTTCTGCACCGCGGGCAACTTTTTTAAAAAACAGGGCAAAAACGGCGTTTATGGGCACTTTTTGAAAAATCGCGTTTTTTCGGCGCGCGCTCCCCCCTCGAAGTTAGTATATATTGGTGCCGTTAGAAAAAATTGAAAATTAGTCATCCAAAATGGATATCTCAAAATAGTACAAAGAGGGGACCCTTTGGTTCGGCAGGGGGCCAAATCTCTGAGAGAGAAAGCGTCCGCAACCCTTCCCCCCTTATAAATTAAACTAAGCCGCGAAGACTTACCCGCACCGGAGTTCCATGGATAATAATCGATTATATTGAATTTTCGTGATCTGTCTCAATAAATTTTGATAATAATCGATTATAATCAAATTAAAATGGATTGTACTGAAACTATTTATCTAATCATTAAAATCCGAATATAATGAAAGAAAATGATACTTGTTTTCGAGGCAAAATAATCCATTATGATCAATTTTAATCGATTGTAAAGGATCTTTTCGAAACGTAAGTCATGAAAAATACAATTTTTTTTTTCAAATTTAATGCATTTCCTGTTTAGTGCAGTTGCTACATATTAGGTTTTTAGGCTTCATAAAACGTTGCTTTTCAATTTTAAACCCCGTTTACCCTTTCCCTAATTACCCCCCCCCCCCATTTTCCTGCCTCTTTACAAACCTCCCCCTCCCGTTAAGCCCCTCCCCCCGTAATTCGAGTAGGTTTAGATTGCGAATAGGCCGTGAGTAACGCAAAAATGTTACAAGTTTTGCAAATGATTTGGCAAAAAATGTATAGATTATAATCCGTTATAATCCATTATAATGGCTTTTGAATGGATTATAATCCATTATCCATTATAATGGATTTTAATGGATTGTGTTTTTACGAAAATAATCGATTATAATGACAATATAATCGATTAAGTGGTCTAAATTTGACACAATAATGGGTTATAATGACAACAATTTAGACACCATTTTTCCATTATAATCGATTATTATCCATGGAACTCCAGTGCGGATAGTTTACTTCAGTGAAATTAGTTTTCGAAAATATTTTGTCGGGTTTTTGGGAATTAAAATTACAATTAATCAAAAAATCATTGTCATAAATTTAAAAATTTGATTAATTTTTCAAACTTTAAACCTAATTTACAATTATTATCAAAATTCTAGGCTTTCGTTTAGGTCCTATTCTTAACACCAACAAAATACGTCAGTGGAAAAAATTTCGTTGTGAATTTTTTATTGTACTCGGAATTTTCTGAGCTACTTGTGCAGCATTCGGCTATACTTGTATATTACTACAGGGGCGGATCTAGGATTTTCGCGAGGGGGGGGGGGACGGATTTTCAAAAAAATTTCGAAAATTTTGTCGACCTTTTTTTAGGTCGACCGAATTGATTTTTCCAGCTCTCCTTGCGCACATTTTAGCCTAAATTTCTGCGCCGCAGGCAGAATTTTGAAAAAACTGTCCAAAAAAGGCGTTTTTGGCACTTTTTGGAAAATTTTGACCAAAAAATTGCGTTTGACCAAATGGATTTCTTAAAAAGCACCAAAGGGGGGACCTTTTGGGTCGGCAAGGGGTCGAATCCCTGAGGGAAGGCGCCCGAACCGCTCCCCCCCCCCCCCCCACTCCCCCTTAAATCCGCCCCTGTATTATTATATATTTTGCAGGGGGCTTTATTGGCGAAAGCCCATGTTTCTTGCTTCATTAACCGGAAGAAGAACTGACCTGCTCCCTTCATGGCACAGTAGAGCGCGATAGCATCCACTTCTGCGTTAAAGTCTTCCCGGTCAACCACAGAAGGAACAGGCTAAAAAAATGGATATACTATTTCAAAAATTTTGTTTCTATGTTGGTTTTTCATTTAGTTTTTGTTTATTATTATACGATGTTGAAAGCGTAAACAGAAGTTATTTTTGAGTGGAAAACTCCGCATTCAAAATCATTCCAATCTGAATTGAGGCAAGCTGGTTGGTCATATTAATTTCCGGATTAAGTTAACATCCCCCTTAATAGACCAAGTTAAGATCTTCGTCCTCAAAATTTAGTCCGAAATAACAGCGCTGAGCAGTTTCGTTCCAGTGTGTAAAATGATCGGTTCTGATTGTTTGAAAATTCCAGCTTAACTTCATGCATATCACACAAAAGGAATGATAAATTGGTCCTAACTATTTGATACTGGCTGTTGGGGAGAAAACAATTCAAAACTTTTAGCTTGTCAAATTTTTCCTTGTCAAAACAATTTTCGACGCCAGTTAGGGCATTTGGACCATTAAAGGATTTGCGCTGATAAGAGTGGCCTTTTTGATGCAATTTTATGACGGTTATTATCAAATCCTCCCTTAACGAATTCTTTATGTAATTTGAGTTCTGGGTAACAATATCTTTAAGGAATGTAGGCAGCAATATCTTCAAGCAATTATCTGTCAGCAACCCTTAAGCACTTTTCAAAATTCCTGAAGTAAAAAATCGAAAATTTACTGAATAAAAAACCCATGCAAAAAGACTCAGTTTTCTTCGAAAAAAGGCAGCATAGAGTATTAACACGACTGATAAGGGTGGCGTCCCTTATGCTTGAAGGACCGAATGCTTGAAATTAATTAGCTTACTTTCAGCCAATCAGAATTGAGTATTCAAAATCTCAAAGTAAATCGCAAAAATCTCAAAGTAAAAAAGTAAATTCAGGCCATCAGTGTTAACATTGACCGATTAGATAATAAGCAGATGAGTTTTCAAGACTGAAAAATTCTTATGATTTTGGCCTCATTAATCTTGATGATTATCTGAATAGTTTTGCGATTGTAACCCGCAATTTGTAATAATTTTGATTATTTTCCACTGATTTAATACGTTTTCTGTTAATATTGACTTCGATATTGTGAGAAAGGCATTTAGACAATAGACACGCTTAACGATTTTTTATTGGTTGAAACTTTTCAAGCATTTGGTCATTCAAGCATGGGAACCCTCCCCACTGATGAGGGGTGCCGGATATCAAGCCGACGAGACTTAAAGCCGAAATGTAATATTAGGGACTTCAAGCCGAATAATTCCTTATAAAGTCGTGAAATATGAATAATTTGAAAATTTTTTTGAAGAATTTCTGAACTTCATGATATTTCTTCACTAGTTATTGGCGTTTGCATATAAATTAAGCCTCCAAATGATGTTTCGGAAAGTTGAAAAGTAAAACATGGTTGAAGGCATTTTTCATGTTTATAATTTATGCATTTCAAAAACCGGCTGATGTCATTAACGGATGCCAATCACAAGTGGTGCATTGTCATGAATAACGCTTATTATGGACCAAACTTGTCAAAATTTTAGAAAAGCAACGTTTCACAGATGATAAAATAGCGTTTTGGGGTGCTTGTAAATTTTAATTTCGGCTTGAAGTCCCTTCGGCTTGAAGTCCCGTCGGTTTGTTGTCCTAGACCCACTGATGAGTGGCTTGTTTAAAATTAAAAGTAAGAACTTGCTCAAAATAGCTCTTTCGAAACCCAATAACGTTGCGAGAAATAGCCAAAACTGTGGAGGCGGAGTAATAAGCAGAATGGTCCTTGTGCAGAATGGCTCCAAGAGCAGAAAGCAGAAAAATAATGAGTTATATTGGTTTATACGGGCTAGTTAAAATAATTATTAGAATCGTCAAAAATTACCTAGAAATCGAATAACTTATGCAAGAATTGACTAATTTCATTACGTTTTTTATTAAAGTTTTCTAAAAAAAATTGTTGATTAAATGATTCAAATTATGCATAAAATGTTCATTGCTTTGGTATTATTGACAATTCTGATAATAATTCACAGATTAGCTAATAAAAATTGATACTTTTCTGTTTTTCTGCTCCTGGACCCATTCTGCTCTTAGATCATTTTGCTTATTGACTGGCCACCCAAAATTGTGATATCGTTTTAAATTATCATAAAATTTCAGGCTGTATAAAAAATCCGTTAAAAATTGTAATTAAAGAGACGAAAACTGTCTCGAGAAAACGACAATTGTAGCAAAACCAATCCATCACTTTTGTTCAAACCGGGACAAAAAAGATACGTTTTGGTGTAATAGAGAGTTAAATAACTGAAAAATGGGGATAGATTGAATAACTGAGGAACTGTTAGATTCAACATTTTCGCGACAGACTACGTTCAAAGTCAACCAATGTAAATGATCCCAAAAAACTCGAGGATATGCCTTAAAACAAAATTCTTCCGGAGTCGTTTTGCTTAAACCAGTCTAAATAGTGCCAAAAATGCGGTTATTGGTCAGCTTTTGCTGGGTTCTGACCAGGGGTGGATCTAGAATTCTCCCGAAGGGGGGGCCGATTTTCAAAAAATTTTCAAAAAAAATTTTGACGACCTTTTTTTAGAATTTAATTTTTTTAAAAGAGGTCAAAAAAGCCGTTTTTGGGCACTTTTTGGAAATTTTAGGGTCAATCGGCCAAAAATGGATTTCTTAAAAAGTACCAAAGAGGAGACCCTTTGGGTCAGCAGGGGGTCGAATCCCTGAAGGAAAGCGTCCGCATCCCCCCCCCTAAATCCACCCCTGGTTCTGACCGATAACTGCTTTGTTTTCGCGCACGCTTACTCCTCAAACTGATTTTTTTATTGGCAACAAAAGTGCTCTTCGAAAAATTTTGGGTTGGTCGATCAAAACAGTTGTGTTAATAAGAACCAAGAGGGTACCCTTTCGATGGTGAGGAGTCAAAGAAGGGATAACAATTAAATACGTTTTTTTTTCATTTTCTTCAACTTCGGGAAATCTAGTCATCATGGGCGGGGGTCGCCTTTACTTTGAATTTAAACTGTCGACAAGGTTGTCATTAATAAACAAACAAGGAACGCCGGTTGCTGTACTAGTAGAGAACAAAATTTCTATAAATAAGAAATTTTCTCTGAAATAAAAAAACTCTATATAAAGTTAAGAAATCGGAAAAAAGTTCCAAAGCATTATGTTTTTATCCAGGGGCGTATCTAGGATTTTATTGGATTTTATTGGGCAGATATTCAAAAAGTTACAAAAATTTAACGAAATTTTTCTGGGTCGACTAAATTAATTTTCTGAGCTCTCCCATAGCACTAAAAATACCTTATTTCTGCCAAATTTTCTGCGCCGCAGAAAAAAATACACAAAGCAAAAGGGCGTTTTTAGGCCTTTATTGGAAAATTTTGACCAAAAAATTGTGTTTTTTCGGCGCGCGTTCTCTTCCTTTAATATAATAAATGTTGGTGTCAAAGGCGCCTTTTGAAAAATTTTAGGGTCCGTCAGCCAAAATGTACTTCTCAAAATAGTACCGAGGGGGTCGGCAGGGGGTCAAATTTTTGAGAGAGGAGGCGTCCGCCCGCCCTCTCCACTAAATCCGCCCCTATTTTATCTTAGTTTTCTGTAAATTTTTTTAGTATGAAGTATGTGAGTTATGACACAATGTAAGAATCAGGTGATGAAAAAGTGGATCCGATAAAAGTGGATTCGAAGAACAGTTAAATATGTGCTTGTGGAATCCAGTGACAGAAGGCAAAAATGGCAGCGTAATCCACTGACAAACAGTGAAGCCCATCGACAAAAAGCTTAAATTGACCGCAGAATCCACTGACAAATGTTGGAATCCAGCGACAATCAATGCAATCCACTTCAACGACCAAAACACATTTGTCTGCGGAACCCACTGACAAAAAATTACTTCGGCCTTTTGTGTAGGGATTACTTGATTGTGGAATCCACTGACAAAAGTTTTTAAAACACGTAAAAGATGTGTCCGTGGAATCCAGACGCGTGAAAGCACAAAACAAGCTTAGTTATAAAACTGAGTTTGGCGTCGCAATTTCGGTAAAATCCTTTAAAAACGAGATATTCAAAATAGGAAACAATTGAATCACCACTAGCTTGAACATCATCGAATTGGTCCGAAAATTACATTTGTTTGATGTTTTTTTTGTAATTCGAATTACAGCTGAAAAAAAAGTTTTTTTTTTGGAAGTTCATTGAAAAGAACACAACCTACCTCATAGTTCATTCTCCCGCTGCGTGAAGTGCTCGGAAGGAGAAAAAATTCAAATAAAATTAAACTCAAGTTGGTGTTTCATAAACTCACATTTCGGCCAGCTGGGCTAGAATCTCCTTTTTTTGATTGATCAACTTTAGTTTTTGCACATGCCCAGTCTGATAAAATACTTATCAGTTGTTCAACACAATAGCATCTCCCTTCAGACATGTCCTGGATTTATAATTTGTTTACCAAAAAATATCGTCCACAGAAATCGGAATAAGTTTTTATCTGTCTGATCAACAATATCAAGCAGCTCAATTCGTTTCATGAAAATGCTAAATTGCCCCAAAAACCAGAATAGATTATTTACTTTATTTGTAATGATCGGATTTTAAACGTTAGAATCGCATAGAATCATGGACTCAATAAGATGATAAGAATGGCTCTAATCAGCAAACAGGCCTATCATTCACACCAGTGCAGATGTTTGATTTCTATTTGATCGTCCTATAATACGATATAACAATTTAAAAAAATGTAGACTATCGTAAGACTCAAACTCCGGTCGAGGTTGTGGTTTTATGATCAGGTTGTCGCCGCCAAACTTTGGTATTTCCAGACTTTGCGGACGGAGGCAATGTGTCCGCGACCGGCGCGACCAAAGGGAAACTAACCGCGACCGGCGCGACCAAAGGAAAGTTGACCGCGACAGGCGCGACCGAAGAAAATTTAACATAAATCGGGGAAAAACGACTGGAGAAAAACGTTGAAAATTTTGAAAAACAGGCCAGAAAACGCGTTTTTAAGCATTTTTGGAAAAGTTTGAGCAACAAAACTGCGTTTTTTGGCGCGCGCTCCCCCCTCAAAGTAAGTATATATTGGCGCCAAAGACGACTTTAGAAAATTTTAGGGTCTGTCAACAATTATGGATATCTCAAAATACTACAAAGGGGGACCCTTTGGGTCGGCAGGGGGTCGAATCACTGGGAAAGGCATCCCCCCCTAAACCCGCCCCTGTATGTTTGCATGTATACTATAAAAAATTAATTTTTAGAATCCGTTTTTTACAGTCATTAATTTGACAGAAGCTGCAATCAGTGGCGGAACTAAGGTTTATCTGCAACTCTTAGAGATTCGCGTTTGAAATTTTGACATATACTGAATGAAACTGTGTATTATAAAATAATCGAATAAAAAACCATGAAAAATTGTTCTCGAGCCGTCGCTTACACATTTATAAATTGTCAGAGAGGCGTTCTTAGTGCCAAAAAATCTCCGTAATCAGCAAAAGCAGTTTGATAGTTTTGATTTGAAAGTTTTCATTGGGCGCTAAAAACCTCAGCTAGGCCCTCATCTAGGTTTTATTTCACCTTAAAAAGAATATTGTTAAACTCAGGGACAGGTTTTGACTGAAAGTTCACCAATCATTTAGTAAAATGCCAAAATCTGAATCAATCTTTATCTGGTAGCTGAGTAGATTTTTCTATTTTCTGTTTTTTGTAAAAAGAAACCTACACAAGACGTTTCACGGCGGAGTTCTGAATGTTCCAACTGCGTTCTAAGTTCTATGGAGCAGTAAAAACATGAAAAAAGTAAAAATCAAAAAAAAATGTATTGCTTCTTTAATTTGAGATTTTTTTTGTTAAAACCATCTCCCCATACGCCAAATAAAAACCAAAGTGATAGACTGGGCTCCTAGTAACAAATTAATTGACGCAAATAAGCTTCTTTCAACAGATTGGGAACGATTTCTAAAACTGATTAAATCCGCGCTTACGCGTTAATAGCGCAATATATATCGCGCGTCAATTGTGCCAAAAACCTCATTTCAATTAAGTTTAAGCTTTAGACAGAAATACCTTTTGAATGCTATTCAAAACTTCCGTCAAAAAGGGCAAGTTCACAAAAAGTCAAAATTTGTCTGAAGAAAAAACCAGTCCGAGCACAACTACTCCGTTACTTTCCTTACGAAAGTCGGAACAACAAATATTCCGTTACTTTCGTTACAAAAATTGGAACTGTAAGGGCCTAGATTAGTTTCGAAGCTTCCCAATTAATACCTCTAAACCAAACTGCTAAACTTTATCCGTTGCTTACAAAGATGTTTGGCACTAAAAACTACTCTTTGACGCCATCTAAACTAAATGTCCAAGCGACGCATTGAAAAAAACTTACAACTTATTATGGTTTTTTCATCGGTTAATTTGTTATAATAAGTTTTGTTCAATTCATCAATTAAACTTTTAAACTTGCAATTTCTATGCCCAGTCACTGTAAAAAAATCGTTACCTCCATCACGTATTGTTCTGACTTTTGTAACAAAAGTAACGGAATATTTGTGCTCGGGGTGGCTTTTTCTTCTTCAGACAAATATCGATTTTTAACTAGCCATTTTTGACGAATTTGTTTTTTTTATCATTCAAAAGGTATTTTGGTCCTTAGCTTAAATTTGAAAAAATGTTTCACCTGTGATCATTGCTTGTAAAGTTACGGGGATTTAAAGATTGCTGTTTTTGACAAATGATACATTTTGCGCTATTAACGCGTAAGCGGAGATTTAATCCCTCTTAGAAATTGTTCCAAATTGGTTGCAGGAAGCATATTTGCCATAATTGATTTGTTACTAGGAGCGAACTTTATCACTTTGTACTTTATACGTCGTGTGGGGGATGATGTATAGGACTCTTAACAAAGTTTAGAGCCGACAGCAAATTGGCGAAGTTAAGACGAGAAAAAACAAAATGGCTCAAGGATAGTCTGCTCAGAGGTCTTTGACCAATGGAACAGTTTTTGGCATTTACACGACACCTTTTTTCTTGCGTATATGGGAATGATTCGGGGCTAACATTATGCGCAAAAGTTCCCAACCAATCAATGCCTTTTAAACTGTCCAAAGAAGGTGATTGATTTTTTTTGCATATGAATCAAGGGAGGGTCTAAGATTTTCTCGAGGGAGATCTTTAAAAAAATCAAAATTTTTGTAACCCATTTTATCAGGTCGAAGACTTTGATTTTCTGAGCGCTCATAGAACATTATAAAGACTCTAATGCGACCAAATTTTCTGGGCCGCAGGCAAACTTTGGAAAAAACGGGTCGAAAAAACCGTTTCTGGGCACTTTTTAGAAAAATTTAGCCAAAAAACTGCGTTTTTGGCGCGCGCTTCCCTTTAAAGTATATTTTGACGCCTATGGCGCCTTTAGAAAAACTTAACTGTCGGTTAGCCGAAAATGGATGCCATAAAATGATACCAGAGGGGATACCCTTTGGTTGGCGAGGGGTCAAATCCCTGAAAAAAGAGGCGGCGTACTATGAAACCTCTAAAAGAGGAAGGCGCGTACAATGAATGGCGTCTAAAGGGCCAATGAATATCCACCTATCACCAATCCACGAGCAAATTGTGGGGAAAGCCGGCTGGTAAGGGTGATTTAGGGGCATCGAACGCCTTTTTTAAAAGAAATTAGACTCCCTTCGCCATCTAAAGGGCCCCCCTTTGTTACTCTTTTACGAAATTCATTGCTGGCAAAACATGGTCTTTATAGTGTTTTGGGAGCGCTCGTAAAATGAGTTTGGTCGAATTCAAAAAAGTCAGAGAACCACCCCTACACCAATCTATGACTACGCAAGCGGGTGAAAGTATAAAGAAAAATTGAACTTACATCTCTAGCGGCCATGTCTTGTTTTTTTTTCAAATCTGCGAAAATAAAGTAGTGAACGTTTGATCAATTATCAAAGTACTTTTTGGAGCTGGCACGAATTCGGCAAATGCTTCGTAACTCAATTTGTGGTGAGACTTGATCTGCAAGCACACATTCAACTTTACACGTAACCGTATGGTGTTTGCACTGTTTGACACGTAAATTATGGCCGTAAAAATTAACCACCAAGCGAGCTATAACAATTAACGGTGGTTTGTTTGAACATTTACATAAAGAAAAGGCGTTTTAGTTTAAATTTAGCGAGCTGGTATATCAGGAGTCCCAGGTATCCTGACAGAAGCAGGACCAACAAGTAGAGACACCCCTATGTCAAGATAACTCTTTTTAGACAGTTTGAGATTGAAGTGTTTGAGTTTGACAAAAGCGACTGTACATCAATGATGGATGATTCATGCTTAGTTCTTTTTATTTCTTTCTGTAAAAGGTAAATAGGCGTTCAACTGATAGTGTTGCGATGCGTAATTGAGTATCATGGTTATTGGAAGAGGTTTCCGGTTCACCTCCCAGAAAAAGTTTTTTTGTCCACATATCAGACGCTTTTTTTCCTCAGGGATTCGACCCCCTGCCGACTTGAAGGGTCCCCTCTTTGTCTATTTTGAGATATATATAGGCGCCAATATATACTAATTTTAGAGGGGGGAGCGCGCGCCGAAAAAACGCGATTTTTTTATCAAGGCGTTCATAATCCTATGAACGCCTTTTTTGGCCTGTTTTTTTTTGACAATTTTTTGAAAATCCGCCCCCCCCCTCGAGAACCCCCTCGAGAAAACCCGACCCTAGTTAGATGGACAGAAACTTATCTCTACATAGCCCACCATATTGATTTTCAGAAGAACAAATTGAACCGCGTCATCAAGATCTTTTTCTCGCATAAGATGTCAACTAACTAGTGAGGGACACTTTTTGTGAGTTGGAGGATCGATTTCAGTATTGTTTATCGTCTACCTCCGTCAAAATTTTTGTCAAAAAAATTGCATTTCAACAGGGAGTCCACAGAAATGACGTGGTAACGATTACTCAAAACTTGCATCGAGGTTCCACATTCAAACTGAATTATATTGAATTTTCGCTGAGTAACAGGTTGCTACGATGACCGAATATCGTGACAAATTGAGACAGTGAAATGGATGACATGGTTCAATATTATCAATTATTTTTGTAACCAATTAATTGATTGATCAATTGATCGATTATGAAATTTCGAAACACAATTTTTTTGAACTTTCATTAATGGAAAAAATGCTTATCATACAATTTCTAAGTATGGAAAAAATGCTTATCATACAATTTCAGAAAACGGAAAAAATGCTTATTTTGCTATTTTCATACATATACTTTTGCTCTATGAAATTGTATGAAAGAGTACAATAAGCATTTTTTTCATATATGAAAAATGTATGATAATCATTTCTGTCAACCCGGGTGATTATAAAACAATCAAAAAAGAAATCAGTTTAGCCAATATAAATGGATTATATAAATTTATAATGGATTGAACTGAATCATAAATTGTTTTACGCAGCCTGAATTTTCCAAAAATTTTCCGTATTGTTTCAAAACTTGAAATTTGAAATTTACACTTAAAATTTGAAATTTGAAACTTGAAACTTGAAAATTGAAATTTACATTTGGCTGGTAAATTTTGTTGAATTGTTTTTTCTTATTTAAAAAATGTCTCATTTTTTTAAAATTGGGATATCGTCGCCCCTAGTCTACTTAACCCACTTTTATGCCTACCAATCTTAGTTCCTCCACTTACCACCCCTTCCCATTATCACACCCCTTTACACAAGTTTATCCATCCCAACCCCTCTCTCGCCTTCTATTCCAGTTACCCCCAAACCCCCAAAACTTGGGGGGGGGGGGGCGATGGTTCATGAGAGATTGGGGTAGTTTGGGTGTATTTGTTGTTAATTTGCAAAAATTGAATAAAAGTGAGTAGGTTTAAGAAATGTAGTAAGAGCTGCAGAAAGTTTGGAAACATATAAGACAGATTGTAATCCATTCGATTTAAATTCTTTGAAATTAATGAAAAATAACGGATAATATTCGCCTGTGTGGTCCCAAAAGGCAATTTTAATTGACCTTGATGGCCATTTTCTTGACTGTGCACTCAATCTCCGTAAGAGGAATTTGAAGTCGAAAAGAATCAAGAATATATTCGTATTATCGGCAATAAAAATTTATAGGCAGTTTTGATATTTTTCATCCAAAGACAAAAGCTCATATAACACCAATGATCAGCTTCAATCAACAAATTGGCGCATGCTAGCCACACGAACCGGTCGGTAACGTCCTTGAGAGAGATTGCTCTTTTTGGCGGTCAGCCTTACTCAAGGCTGAACCGAATTAGAACCAACAGTTAAAATAGGATATAACCCCCTTTTTTAGTATATTAAAACATGGGCAGGTGGGGGTCAACCGGGTCGGCCGGGTGACTTCACGGGTTTCGATCTTAACAAGGGTTGATCGGGTGCAACCGTCCTGTCGGTAGTTTAGCTTGACGATTCGGACGAGAGGGTAGTACTCGCGCGGAATATCGGGCTCAATCACCCACACGAGATCGCCTGTCTTAAGAGTGGAGTCAGATTGAGTGTGCCACTTGACACGCTTATTCAGCGAGGGGACATATTCTCGAAGCCAACGAGACCAAATCGCGTTAGCATATGACTGCGCTCGCACGTAACTTCTTCTGTGGTCGAAGTGCTCACCAGGTACAAGCGAAGGAAAGCTTGTGGCATGTTGTCCAAGCAAAAGTGGTTTGGGGTTAAGGCTTCTAACTCGCTTGAATCAGTACTAACAGGAGTGATTGGCCTCGAATTCAAAGCCTGCTCAACTAAGCAGAGTGTTGTTCCTAACACCTCTTCGGTGACTTGCCTACTGCCTAGTGTGTCGTACAGCACGCGCTTCACCGTCGGATGAAGCGCTCCCAGGAGCCGCCATTATGGGGTGCGCCTGGCGGGTTAGAACTCCAAGCAACACCTTTGTGTGCAAAAATGGTCGGAGCCATGTCATTCCAGCTCTTGATGCAAGCAAGTAATTCCTTTTCGCACCAACGAAGTTCGTGCCGTTATCCGACCAGATCGTGCTTGGTGTACCACGACGCGCAATGAACCGTTCAATGCCCATGATACAAGAACTAGTGTCCAGAGATGGTACAACCTCAAGGTGTAAAACCCTGGCGATGAGGCAGGTGAAAAGAAATCTTTATTCAGTTCTTCTGCGAACCGGAACGTAAAGCGGTCCAAAGTAATCCGTATGGTTAAATGGTGGTTGCTTTAATCCGAAACGTTCGACAGGTAAATCGGACATAATAGGCTGAATGGTACTTGCTTTGCGTTTACGGCGTGTTACACATTGATTTTCGATAGACCGAAGTAGTCAACGCAACCCAATTATTGCATATTTCAGATGCAAAAAGGAGCGCTTGTAGTCTAAACCTTGATGAGAATGCTTATGGTGGAGGCTGCGGGCCAACAAACGAACTATGGCATGTCGGGGGTTGAGTAATATTGGGTGCTTAGTATCAAACTCGGTAATCACTAAGCGCACGATCCGTCCGTTGGAACGAATGATACCAGCGGGACCAATAAATGGCGAGTATGTGGCAATTTTACTACTATTCTCAATAGGTTTGCTAGCGGTGAGTGTTTTCAACTCAACGGGGAAGGATTCCATCCGCGCAAATTGAATCAGTTTGCTTTCTGCAATATCAAGTTCAGTGGGGTCGGTGATTCGTAAGTCCTTACCACGAAAATGCTTATGTGAAGGCAGCATTCTCAACATAAAAGCGACAACTCTTTTTTTATATCTCGTAAGGGAACTAAAACTTTCCCAATTGAACCCGTGTTCGGGATGTTTGATGGATGTGACATCGGTGACGAAGGAAGATAATGTGTCCAAGCAACTCTCAACATCACAAGAAAGACATTTCAAAAGAATTTTATTGATAACACGTTCGTCGGGTATAAACGGCCAATCAGTAGTCCTGAGAAAATTGGGACCAACACCCAGCTGCTATCCTTCAGGGCCTCCGACGAAATCCCCCGCGTACCGGTATCAGCTGGTTTATCGCCGCTTAGAACATGGTTCCACTCATAAATAGTGGTCGATTCGAGGATTTCGCCGACACAATTAGCGACGAATACAGGTAATTTCTCAGTGGAGTTTAGCCACGGCAAAACTGAAGTACTATATATCCACTTGTAAACATGATTAGTGCTGACAGTATCTCATCTTTCAGTCGTGTGGCGAGCAGAGCAGCTTGAAGCTCCAGCTTCGGTATAGATAGCTCTTTCATAGGCACAACGCAAAAACCCAACCGGACATAAAGCGTCCTGTGAGCTATCACCGAACATGTGGAGCTCAATTTGATCCACAGGCTCTGTGAAGTAACAACGGGGAAAAGTCAATTGCCGTAAGAGAGGGAGACCGGAGTGCCACTCGAGAATTTATCTCTTATGTCTTCCGTCAATTCGTCGTCCCAATTTTGGCGACTGATTTTCCAATTATCTTTAAGCAAAAGACGGACCCTAACTGTGTATGGAGCTACTAACCCAACAGGGTCAAACACAGAAGAAACAAAGCTCAAGACGGTTCGTTGAGACATTGCCTTATCGAGAGGACGATCACGCCTCTGCTAACAACCAATGTGTCTTTCACATGGTCACACTTGAGACCTAAGACGTGTGTTGACTGATCGGCACCGTTACAAATTTATTTGATGGGTGAAGACGAGATTTCGCAATCCTTGGGGTTCATTGCCGAAGTAAATTCATCTGCATTACTGACAAATTAAGTCAAAATAAATCCTCTCAACTTAAGTAACGAAACCAAATCACGGCTAATTTTAATGGCATGGGTAACTTTCTCGAACAAATCCAAGTGATTGTCCATGTAAACTTTTTCGCTTACGACTGATGCGGCCTCAGGGTATCTGGATATATTATCAGTTGCTGTTTTTTGCAACGCAATATTGGCGCACGTATGCAACTCCCGTGCGCCGATTAAATGGCGAGTGAACTGGCGGACTACTACATCGGAAGTGGTATCCTCCCGTCACAAAAAACGGAACGAAAATTGATCGCGGGCGAGGAGTTCTACTTGGAGGAACAT